TAATAAAAAGAAATTTCAAAGAAATAATAAAAGATGTGTAGGAAGGTTAATAAACAAATATTGAAATTTATAGGCACACCACATCACATCATTGCACTGTTAAATGTCAAGATATGTAGATGTGTTCCATACACGAGGGAGTTCGCGAATGCAAGTTTTTTTGAAAAATTTTTTAGGCGAAGAGATATCTCCAAATCCCACCAACACGGTGGAAGAGTAGAATATTTTTAATAAAAGACTTCTTCTAGTAATAAGTTTGCATTCATAAAAAATATTATTTTTAAATACAAATGATTACCTTGATTATAGGATTTACTCATTAAACTTACGAATGCGAGTTTCTCATGTATTTTCCTATATGAGAGAATACTTGCATATCCTACTAGTATGATGGACGAATTTGGAAAATATCTTCAATAAAAGGTTTTTATTTGACATTATCCAAATGTTATGCCATATATTTTAAAATTGCATCATGTACACGTCACATTACTAAAACTAAATAAAATATGTTAATTTGTTAATAAAATAAAGAATAAAGAAAATAAATAATAATTAAGGAAACATAAAAATAAAATCAATGGTTTAGGCTATACTAGGATAATATATGATTAAATGGTACCGTTCATGGAATAGGCTACACGAGGGTGCTAATCCTTCCCTGTGTATAATCGTATTCCTGAATTTAACTCTAAAAATTTACAGACCAATTTAGTGTTCTTTAGACGGACCTAAAATCAATTTAGGATTCTGTCGAATAGAACAAATTTAATAGGTAGCTAACGCATTTAAATAAAAAAAATTGGTGGCTATTCCTTAAGTTTTCTACGTCTAGCTCGAGTTCTCAGACTTGCACATTACGATAAGGATAGACAAAGTTTATAATATTAAAACTAGTAGAAACACACAATGGTGTTCTACAATAAAAAAAAATCCAATTATTCTTTTTTCTTTGCTAAAATTTGTAAGAGAAATATGATGTTTTTCTCCTCCTTAGAATCTATAAAAGAAAGCTAAATCCTTCTCTTCTCTTTCTTAGAATATATAAGGAAAGTTGATTCTCTTTTCTTCCCTAAAATCTGTAAGAGAAATCTGATGGTGTTGAATTTTATTTACAAACAACAATAAATTTTCTCTTCACATTTTTCACATTTTTGAAAATTCAAGATTACTTAAAAAATGAATTTTAGAAGAGAAATGGGAATATGCAAACATGGAGAGAACATTTTGACTATAAGATACATTGGATTTAGAGAATGCTGAAGAAAGTGATTTTTTTTTTTAATTAGGAAGGATGGCTTTAATTACGAAGATTAAAAAAATGGTCATCAATTAAGGAACAATGGTAATAAGTTTGAAGCAATTTTTTTTTAATTTTTTGTTTCAAATCCCAAATCAATAATTTTTAAACATTTGGATGGATAAAAAGAAAAAAACTTAATTCTTAGTTAATAAATTGTGATACCACATCATCTACCATGTGGTATTGATGTCATCAAGATGATACGTTAATATGTCACATGGAAGATGATGTGGTATTGACTAATTTTTGTTAGTCAATCGTTAGTGTGAGAAACTTATTTGATTTAATATAAAAATTTAAGGGCTTATTTGAAAACAATAAAAAGATAAAGGTTAAATTGACTTTTTTGATATAATTCGAAGCCTTATTTGCTTACTTAACCTTCTAAATGATTATGATTATTTTATATAATTTTTAAAATAAAATTATTAATTTTTATTTTTCTTTAACTTCATTGTTACTGTATAGATATTTAAAAAATGAACTTAATAAATAATAATTAGAAATAAAAATAAATGCAAAGCACAATGAAACAGAACAAAAATGGGTAGGCCACAGCCCATGTAACCCGTCTATGCAGATTGGGCCTACTTTGGGTTGAGTCCACTATGAGCTGGACCTCAGGGGGGCCTATAAAGGTCAAACCCCGGGTCGGATCTGGCGCGGCGGGTCTCTCTTCTCTCTCTCTCCTTTTTTAAGTGATATGGCGCCGTTTGACGCTGTTCTTTCTGCCTTCCTGTTCCTTCTGTTTTTATCCTTTCCTTCTTGCGAAACAGCGTCGTATCATTTCCTGTTCCCTGCTTTGGTTAGCCGATCGGCCAGACCATTTGCCGAACGTGGAGCATGAGCCACTGCCCATCTTCGCAGTTCCCTAAACCCGTGGTGGAAATTGCGAAAATCCTGGATTAGACCCTGACATTGAAGGTTCCATTAATTCCTCTGACATTGAAGGTTCCATTATTGTTTTGAAGGTTTGGCTCTTCTTTTCTCTCTCTCTCTTTCATCATCCATGACAATATATTTTATCTTTTCAATTAGCTAAACGATTTCAAATTTTTCTATGGTTTTCTGATGAATATATTGACGAATATTATATGCTTAAGTTTGTTAATTTACCCTTTTCTGTTTGCTGTTCAACTTTTGTTTAGGGTTTTGGAAAGGATAGGCAGGAGAAGATATATTTGGTTTTTTTTTTTAAGCTAGAGTCGTTAGGGTCAATCCTTTAGGTGATTAAGAGGTCAATATTGTGGCATCAAGATGTTGGGAATTGTTTGTATAAGTATAATTATCAGCTGATGCATGCTGGGAATTGTTTGCATAATAACCTGTTTGCGCAGCATCACCATCCTCATATTACACACCATACTTCATTGTGTTTCATGTAAGACAGTAATGCTTAGCGATCTTCAATTGTGTCAGCACCACTAACATTTTATAACAACTTATATTTAGTTTCTTTTTAAATTGTGTTGTAGTATCAATGTTGAGTTTGCGCTTGAAGAAGTAACAATATTATTGTTATTTCAAAAAAGGCATAATGTTTTAGAAAGTCTCCGATTCCGCTGGCTGAAGATAATATAAGGTTTCCAATTCTTAATGTAATCTTTTTCTTGGGTTACGTTGTTTCATCACTTTAACAACTGGGGTTTTGCATATGAATATTGGGGTTTCTTTGCAGCTCTATAGCTCCCAAAATATGGGGAGTAAAACCAAGAAGAAACATATAGATGAGACACCCAGTTCCTCTTCATCTCCATCAACCTCAGACTACTCTGAATCATCTCCAGAGAGGCGTCACCGGCACCGGAAAGACCGGCGTAGGAAGGATGGGAGTTCAAGGAGAGAGAAAGAGAGAAAAAGAGAGAAAAGAAAGAGGAAAGAGAAAGAAAGGGAGAGAAAAAGGAGGAAACTGAGGAGAGAGGATAGAAGGAAGAAGAAAAGGCATTATCAGTCTGATTCTGAATCTGAGTCGGGTCCCGATTGTGGGTCTGGGTCTGATTCTGAGGGTGATAGAGGGCGGGTTGATCCCCAAGTAGTTGTTGAAGAGATGTTGAAGGAGTTTCCTAATGTTGGAAATGATTTGAAACAGGTAATTGCTGATTTTGTTTGATTATCATTTTGTTGCTTCATTGTGAACTACTTAGAATTTGTGAAATAAATGGTGTAGCCTAAACAAATAGATATGCCAGCAAACATGCTTTGTTTAATGTTATCATTTAGATTTTTTTTTTATTCTTTGCAGTTGCAATTACTCATGGTAGTTGGTTGTTGGTATAAGTGTGAATTGACTGTTGGGCTAGCAGTAAGACAACTTAGTAAAAGGATATAGTTTCTTTTTCCATTTTTGTGCTTAATCTTTTTCTGATGGGAATGATAGTCAATTGTTTTGGTTGAAGTGAAGTCTGTTGTTTTTTTATTATGGTTATTATTAATTTGAGTCTTCTTATTAATTTTTATGCCCAATTCTTTTACATTCCTTTTTTTTTTCCTTGTTATCCCAACATCAATGTAAAGAACTTATGTTTTACGTTTTTCTTGTCCTTGTTTGATATTCGTTTTCAACCTAGCTTCTTCAAATGATTGATGATGGGCAAGCAGTTGACATAAAGGGCATATCTGAAAGGTCGTTGAATAAGCATTTGAAGAAGCTGTTCCTCTCTTTAAACTTAAAGGAAAATGGTGATAGAGTCTTTTTACTATCTTCAAATGCTCACCCCACCTTGGATGTTGTGGGTCATTTGATTCAGACTCATGCAGAACCTAAAGAGCAACAGCCTAAAAGTTCTGTTTCAGTGAAGGATGCACCCTCAATTCCAGAGCATGCTGAATGTAGCCAAGTAATGGATGAAAATAATTCAGACAGAGATGATTCTGCTAATCTTAAAAGAAGGTGATTATTGAAATTTGTTCTCTATGTTTTTATTTTTCTATTTCTATTAGAAGCTATAAACTTGACCAATCTGTTGAAAACAGAATGAATTTTTTCCTTTTGTTTCATATTGTGGCCTACTGGGTCTTGGGCTACAAAATACAAGAGAGCTATCTTTCATCCAATAAACTCCACACCACATTCCTAAACCTCAAATATGAGACTTCCAAGTTGGAGTCTCTAGTTCAAACCGTTGGATGTTTTAGGGATAAAATGAGATGACTATGGTTAATAGAAAATTTACCTTAATTATAAATATCTGAAAATGAACTAACGGAAAAGAAAAGAAGAGAGAAAACATGCAACAAGAATTGCCTCTATTTGACCAATACTCATGGATGCCTTATTTTCCCTTTTTCTATTTCAAAATTGCAATTAAACATAATAGAAATTTAACTGGGATATTCTGAAAAGAGTGAAGAGAAAAATATCCAGCAATTGATGTGTCACCTTTAGACTAAAAGCATTTATGTGTTGCCACCTTGAGGTCATTGTCTAAACTTTTAGGTATGGGTGTGATTCTGGTTTGCATATTATATATTTTACCTAAGCTAACAAGAAAACATTTTGTTAAAATGAAATGGCCAGAGTAGTCAAAGCTGTGGGAGTTAAACTCTGTAGTTTCCTGCGTAATTATCAGATATGCCTGATACTTAAGTGTGTAGAAAACACATGTAAACGAAAACCTTCTATCATAAGGAAATATAAAAGACTAAGCAATATTTATTTTAACCTTTTTATGGTCCTGATTGCTCTAGCATCTAATGATGACTATAATTTCAGATTTTCTTGACATATTTATGTTGTTGTTGTTTTACCTTGGTGATCTGTATATTGATTAACCTTGAGATTATTCTTTAATGTTGTTAAACTCAGTAGCAGAATTCTCATTGCAATCTTTAAGCTGGATTTGTAATGTTTTTTGCAGATGCATGAGATTACTTGTGTCAATATCTAACCTCATAATGCTTTCATTTTGTGGCAGGGTGATTGGCCCTGCAATGCCCTCAGCCGAGCTACTTGCTGCAGCAGCCAAATTAACAGAGGCCCAAGCTGAGCTCAGGTATTATAAACTACAAAAGTTTTTTGCTCACATATTTATTGGTGACATTGTTTCTGGCAAATTTGAATTTTAGTTGTTTTGGTTCTATTTAAGACTTTGGTTTGCATATTTTTCAAACATATTTGGCTAAATGCTCATTTTAGGATTTAACATTTGTCAAATTTTTTATTCCAGGATGTAACCTTTTGAGCTTTATCCATTTAAGGAAAATTGATGACAAAAGTCAGCAAATATAGTTAATATGACTGAGAGTTACTACGTAACGGTAATTTTTAACAAATATATATTTGAATTCCTTAATTGTATAAATGGTTCTTTACTAACTGCTATCATAAATTTTCCTTAAATAGATAAAATCAAAAAGATCACATCCTAATTTGCACGAAATAATAGGTTGAATCCTGAAATGAAAATTTGACAAATGTTATATCCTAAAATAAGCATTTAGCCAATTTATTTCATATATCCATATTTTGTATCAAAATGTTAATACTGGCTTTTATGACTTTGCTTTTGTGTTCTTTTCACAAATTAATTCAGAGAAGCTGAGTTGGAGGAAGATAATGAACTATTTATTGGACCTCCACCACCTGCTCTGGTTGCTGAGGCTGAATCTGCAAATGAAGCAGAGCGTTTTGAAGAGGTTTCAAAAATTTTACTACTTACCTATCTTATTCAGATTTAACTATATCTATGATTGGTAGAGATATATCTATTGCAACCTTAAACCTTTCACTTGGAATGTGAAATTTTCCTGTCATGTGGTCTTTTAGGAACCTCTTACAGATTTATTGCCTTGTGGTTCTTTTCCCATCCTTCTAACTTGCTCTCTTAGGTTTGTTTGTGTTAATCATCTAGGTTATACTGAAAATGATCCTAAATTCTTGAAGGGCATTTTGTCAATTACTTATGCGTTGTGGAAAGGAGGGATACATGGTGGCTTGTGTCTGTTTAATTGAGTAGCTTCTGATTCATTATAGAAGACCATTGCCAATAAAATGAAATTAATTTCAAAAATTGGTTCATCTCGTTCATTTTTTTGGGG